ATATTTTCATGATCATGAATAAAGGTCTCACAGGTGGTGGTTGCTCAGACCGGGCAGCCCTGGGCTCAGCCAGTCCAGGAATCTTAGGCCGGAACTGGTGTCGAAAGACGCCGTTCGCCGCGTGCGACATCTGTGCCACGGGCTCCAAGTCACGTCGAGCCCAGGCAGGCCTACGCACGGAATACGCGTAATTCGCAGCGACGACCAACCGAGTTTCCATCAATGCTGCCACAAGAACGATCAATCGCTCAACAATCATTGTCGCGAAAAAATAAAATAAAAGAGATCACCCGAAGTCGTCTGGATGACGATTCCCTGGCTCCTGGACGCGAATCAAATCGAGTCATTAATTTTCCTCTCGACAGGTCATAAAACCTTTTATTATGGCTTTTTTTTTTCCTTTTTGTTTTTGGGTGATCGGTGAAGCGTGGGTGGATTTAATTGCTGTGATAAGCACGGACTCCATCCCCGCAGCAAAATAATTGATCCCACCGCTCGTCTAAAAGGCTACCGAAGAGATGAAACGAGTCAGATTAAATGTCCGCTGGGTCCCGGAAATCTCAATCACTCGTTTGGTTGACGCAACAAGCAATGTAATAACCATTCGTCAATTTTTTATGATTTTTGCAATGGACTATACACGAAACGAGGGAGTCGAGTGCGAAATTTTTAAAATGACGTCAAAATATTTTTCACGCAAATTTTCTCTCGGAAAAGTGTCCAAACCGCCAATAAGTTATCTTGCGCGGATTTTAGATTAAATTTTGGAAATGCTCTACTCGCAAGAGTATAACGCGAAATTTTTCTAAAAGTTTACTTTGAAAATTCTATGCGAATCATATGCAGTTATAAAATGTAAAAAAAATCCAGTTTGATTTACGTGGTATTTGAATTAATTTACCATACACTTATACACCAGAATATCTCAAACCCTATATTGTAGAATGGACAGAAATTTTAATTTAGGCTTGAATAATTGCTGAATCCAATTATTTTTTCATGGAGTTTGTATCACACTTATATTTGTCATCGATACTTTTTTATGTTCTCAAAGTAAATTACTTGTCACCTTTTTTCGAGGTGAAATTTTGAATTATTATGATTATGCGAATGCTGGAAATATGACAGGGATGGAAAGTTAATCATATTTTATTTATGCATCTATGCGTTGAAAAATTTTATTGCCTGTATTATAACATTAATTACTACAGGAGACTAGGATATAATACAGGGAATACAATTTTTCCCAGATTTTCCCTCAAAAACCGAATTGCGAATTTTATTCGAGGTAAATTGGTACAGAACTTCAAATAATAGTGTTTTTCTGGATAAAATGCGGAATTCTGAAATATATACTGCATATTAAACACAACTCGGGCCAAGAATGGCTTACAAAAAATAATTATTCTCATGAGAATTATTTTGGGAATGTTCTCTCCAGAAAAGTTCACCAAAACATTATTTCATGCCTCCAAAATATTGCGTACACGTACAATCTAATACTGATGGAAAATTGTATTGTGCTCGTTATAAAAAAGATTAAGGCAGAATCTTATTAACCTGATGCAATCATCAAGATAAATTATGGCTTTTATGCCTCCAAAATATTGCGTACACGTACAATCTAATACTGATGGAAAATTGTATTGTGCTCGTTATAAAAAAGATTAAGGCAGAATCTTATTAACCTGATGCAATCATCAAGATAAATTATGGCTTTTACTTAACTCGGTTTTTGTGTACGGAAAATGGATTACTTTCTTTTTTCTATGATTATTCAGCATCACCCCTGCTCACTTTGCAAATCCGTAATATTTTCTCTATAGATTCACTTTCACTTTTGATTCAATCAGTATCAATCGATGTTTATCCGGAAATACAGTAATGCAGTGTACGATCGTCGCAGTGAAGCCATGAAGTGCAAATTTTCGTTTCTTTCAATTTAATTTCCTCCATTTTTCGAATCAGAACTTTTCTTGGCAGAAAGATCGAGTATCCATGACGTAACGGTTATACAGTACTTTATTACTATAATCAGATTTTCCTTTACATTCATCAAATTTGAATGAGCTTCTTAAGCAAGATGTTTGATCAAAATTTGCGCCACATGGTTTTCCTTGAAATAATTTTTAAAGAAATAAATTGCACAACTCGAAAAACATCTCATTTTCTGATGTGCGCAAAACAATATATTATTCCCTTTCATCACAAAGGGATTTTGTGTTAAATTCTTGAACGTTCATGTTCTATTCAATACAGTACTAAGAATAATTTTTTTGAACGCGACAAACTGTTTTACAAAGTATATTTCAACTATTTAAGCATCATCAGGTTGAAATTTGTCGTTCGAGAAGTCTTTTGTTCTGAAATGTATTCCCTAAATAAACATGTTAAATTCGTTTCAGCACCATGACTGATGGTACTGTATTATCAAAAATTTTCCAGACGTATACTCCAGAAAACCCGTTAAAAATGATGAGATGCAATTAAATTGTAACCTGCAGCTAAACAAAAAAGAAAATCCCTGAGCAAAGCGTTCATCAACGTGTCGCATAATCAAAATATCTCGGAATACGAGCAATGCGGCTTCTTAATTCGCGTAATTTTGAAATTGTCAATTGTAGTACCCTGAGTGATGTTTGGAATGTTCGGGCTTCATTTCCCGAAGGTCACTTCGACGAATGACTGAAATGTTGTTCGAAACTGAGGCTGGGAAAGAAATGCTTCAATGCTCCACAACAAAAAACGAGGAGAGATGAGGGACATTTCGGTATTCGACTATACTCCAATATATGCCCGCAATGTTGTTTACACAGGTTTCCTCACTTCCTTAACCAAGAGTACAAAATAAGAAAAAAGAAGAAAAAAAAGAAGGACGAGAGAAGCTAAACAACAAGTTTGTTTTCGGTCTTATCTCAGCTAGCGTTTCTGTCATCCTCCTTGGACTGCACTTTTTTCTTTTGTTTACTTTTCTTGGGTCTCTCTTTTTCAGTAATGTACATATGCAAAATATTATAGGGATATTTGGGGGGAATCATCACAGGATCACACAAGATTCAATGAAAAAGGCGCCCAAAGCCCGGAATTGGTCGGTCGGCGGCGGCTCGTCGCGGACTGACGCACTGGGCGTCCCGATTGCGTTGACTTTGTCCTCGGAGATAGGCATCAAACAGCGGCTTCGAGGGCGGCCTCACACTGCTCTCTTGGATATGCAGTGAGGGGCCCCCGAGATTCGGACGCTTGGGCCTTTTAATCCATGCGTTGGAGCGTCCGCATGTTGGATAACGTTTTCCCTTAGACTTCAAGGGGAATATATTTAATTGGTTTTCCTAGCTTTTGATGAAAAATTTGGGAAAATCCCCCTCTAAAAAATTTATGGAATAATTTTTTTTTCAAGTTTAAGATGCAGAAAATTACAGTGCGCAAGAAAACCAGGCATAACCTGATATTCTGACATAAAAAGGCACCCAAAAAGCAAAGAAAAAAAGCAAAAGTTTCCCCATACAGCAGGTGGTACCATGCAATTCAACCCTGAACAATTGCCTAACTAGGCTCAAATTGCAAAGCAGTCAAATTGTGAGACACTGTGTTGAATTAAAGAATATACATATAAACATACAAAAAATTAGCTAAAGCAAGCCAAATTGTGTGGCAAGGGTCAAATTGCAAGTCAACATCCCCGCAAATTCAACCATCAAATTGCAGGATGATCATATTGTGGGAAGTTTAACCCTTGTGAGGCAAAGTTGGACTATTTTCGCAAAATTTTGTGGCACCTCAGAGAGGTTTGGAAAAAAATGATGATAGGTGGTCAAGGGCAAAGTCGGGAAAAATCCCGATGCTTTTTTCTCTGAGCACAGAAAAATTTTGCGGGCAAAAAAAAATGATCAGTTAGGCTACCGGCTTTATTTGGATTAATCCCAACTTTGCCTCAGCCCACCTGGAAGGGTTTCGGTGACCTTCCCAAAACTGAAAACGCGGGAGGATACGAAAATAATCCAACTCTGTCCCGCTACGGGAAAGAACCCTCCGCCGTCCGAGGGTTAATTGCAAGGTACCACCTGTACTGGGTTCTGATGGTCAAAAACACTGCAAAAAAGCACAAAATTAGTCTGTTTTGGGTCATGAATTACAGGGAATTTTTAATAAAATTATTTTTAATGTTTATGATTGTGAAAAGCTCAAATTGTTTGAGAGATATCAAGAATTTTATGAATAAAATTTTTCCATTTGTCCAAAAAGTTGGTATTTTGAGACATTGTCCAGAATATCCAGATATTGCATTAAATTTTTTGAGTTATCAAAGTGTATCTCAGTCAAATCATCAAATAATGTATGTTGGTGTATCCACACATTGGGTCCACTACATATGGTTTTTGTATATGTACTGTACATGCAGGTGGTGCCCTTCAATTTGACCTTAATCTATTGCTGGACTACAGTGGGATGTGAAGCACTTGATTGAGCATTCATAAATTGAATTGTCCAAATTTTATGACGTCAAAAGCCCCAGTATATGGACCTGAGAGTTTAAATAACTTCTGCCATGAGATTTTGTGTCTACTTGTACTCATTCAAATGAAAATATAATTCAAACTTCACCAACTCATAATTATTATGCAAAGAACCTGTTTTATTTATTTTATTTTTGAATTCCACTGAAGTTTGAGTAACTCTTCTACAGCAATATTCTTCATAAGCTAAATAATTCATCAGTCCTGACTCCTGGTAAGTATCAGTACTTACAGAGTTTCACCGCTTCACGAAATCAACATGAAATCAGAACTTGAATTCATTTTTCAATGTAAAATATTTCAAGTTTTCTGCAGAACTCTTTCATATCTCTTTCAAAAATAAATGCAATGGCTTAATGAGTGCGATGAGCTTGTGCTCTTCACGGTCAGCCATTCCCACAAGGACGAAATCGAGGAAGATTCGTGCCATGGGAAGTAACGCTAAAAACTAAAAAATTAAAAGAAAATATTAGCACATTTGACGAATTCTTCACATTCCCACCTGCAGACAGACATCTTACTTCTGGAGGTTGAGAAAAATAGCAAGTATCATCAGAAATTTGCATCAATTTTGATGCGCATTTCACCGAGTCCGCAATAACCAATTCAAAATCAGCGCGTAAAAAAAAAAAAAAAACTTGATTTTTTTTCGATCGCATTTTATTCACACGTCATCCCGAAGATTAGCATGATGCATCATTTATGCAAAGACTTGGAGAAAATTCAATTATTGGTTTTTCAAATTATGAAGCAAGTCAAATAGAAGTAGCAAACAAAGCGCTTGAATCGTCCGCGAGTCTTTTCTTGAAACGCTTGACTGCAGAAAAAGCCAAAGCAGCTGAAATTCCGATCGCAATCGCCAAAGCCACTGCAATTCCAGCATAGTAAAAGACATCTCGAAATATTGATCCCGAAGCTCCTTCATCTGATAAAATAAAGCAAAAATATACGTTTCTGATTAAGGGTCATTCCGCATGCTTAATTATAAGCCTGTGACCTATATAGTGTAATGACCCGCTTTGACCCGACATTTTCAAAATTTTTGCCTCACTTGAGGTCATTGCTAGACTTGGGAACTGTCTTTGTGTGCTTGAAAATTTTGAATGACTCCAAAGTGTCCAGTTCAGCTTTTTACTTTTTCGCAGAAAAAAATTACAGTACAATCAGAAAATCATTTAAATTGTTTTTCTGAAACATGGATTTAATTGTGTAAGGTGAGGTAAATTCTGTGATTATTGATTAATTTTCGAACAATACTTGATCAAAATTGATTTGTAAAACAAGAACAAAAATCGTTTCACTCGAAATAGTCCATACGTGAACTTTTATCCCCCACGCAAATCTGATCACATGAATCAAACGGATCAATTTCTATCGAACATGTAGCCTTCTTATTTGATCTGATTTTATGCCTTGAGAAGTTGTGAATAGGAAAACCTTTCGTTTCATGAATCGAACGATTATATTCGGCGGAATTGCGAAATGGAATGTATACGGGACACAAATGAGTTTGTATTCTTAAAGCGGATTTTGCTTGCGTCATCCACCAAAGCAAGTTTCTTGTTCCGGAATCAAACTCGTTTCCGGTTGTCGATTTAAAAGAAACGCTTAGGATCACCTTTTTAATCCGGAAATTTGGGATAGTGACGATTGGTCATCGCAAATTGCTTCTCTTGTTAAAAATACATATATGAATTCTCTCACTTTTTTTCTCGGCTCAATATACGACATCAGGAAAATTCGATGCGTGTTTCATACAAAGTTAATTTATTTCACGGCTGAAAGTACTGTATATTCATTGCTCAGATTTAGTTTCGTACATCGTGAAGCAAGTTTCTTGTTCCGGAATCAAACTCGTTTCCGGTTGTCGATTTAAAAGAAACGCTTAGGATCACCTTTTTAATCCGGAAATTTGGGATAGTGACGATTGGTCATCGCAAATTGCTTCTCTTGTTAAAAATACATATATGAATTCTCTCACTTTTTTTCTCGACTCAATACGGCATGAAGAAAATTTGATGCGTGTTTTATTCAAATTTAATTTATTTCACGGCTGAAAGTATATTCATTGCTCAGATTTAGTTTCGTACATCGTGAAGTACTGTATTGATTAAATACTCAAATGGGTTATTAAAGTACTGTTCAGCAGTACAGTATTTTAAATTGATTTATTTATAATATAGTCGTAAAATTATAATGAAACACTTTCCATAGAATTGAGTCGTGAGAATCGGAAATGCTGCAAAAAATCTGACTTGAGCGCGACTGTAATACGTACTTCCTTCCGCGATTAATTATCACTAATGACAGCTATAATTACATGTACTGTAGTAGGATTTGGGAAATATTTTGTTCACCTGAAAGTGTTACCTGGATGCAAGTATCGGTATCCATCCATAGTCACTGTCCAATTCCGGGTTTCGGACCGTACGCAAATTTCTGGGGCACTGGGACTCCAAGGTGACCAAAGACCATTGGCATGACTTCGAATTGAACACAGGCACCTACTTTCTCCTTTAAAAGAAACCCCAAGGATATACAGTGAGACCCCAAGATGCGGACGTAATTGGTGCATCAAGAGTGTCCCTAAGTCAAAATGTCCCTAAGTTGAGTCTCATTTTCCCTTAGACTTACATTATATAATTTTGAATTGGTGCTTTATGTACAAAATACTCACCATAATTCCATGAAAATAAAATTTGTCTCCCATTTTAAAAGTCAAAATGTCCCTAAGTTGAGTCTCATTTTCCCTTAGACTTACATTATATAATTTCTAATTAGTGTTTTAAGTACAAAATACTCACCATAATTCCATGAAAATAATTGTCTCCCAATCTAAACTGATTCCAATCAATACATTTCAACACAATATGGGCATTTAGGGAATTGAATACTGATACCTCTGTACAGTACATAGAAATATTGGCTGTAAAAATAATATTCAAGCAAAAAAGAAGGAAGTCCCTCTCAGCTGGAGGTATTTTTTAATTAGCTAAATGGATGGTAAATTGGTGATAGAAATGCCCAAGAAATGTTCTTACTACAGTATCAATTTTAGGGTTGGAAATATCTGTTTCTTGTAATTTGTCCTGAAATGTATTTGCAAATTTATAACAAAATGTCCCTATGTTGAGTCAGTATCCTCATGTCAGACCTTTTTCATTAATTTTCTATGATAAAATAAGTGTCCCTATGTCAAATTGTCCGCAGGTTGAGGTGTCTGCATGTGGGGGTCACACCATATTTTGTAAAATTAAATAGTGATTTTTTTGTCCAAATAGTTTTTTTATTTGCAATATGCTATATATATACAGTTGAACATTTTAAAGTCAAATTTCAAGGGACCAGCAAAAAAACTTGACTTACAGAGGTCTTGAATTGTAGTGGTTTCAGCTACAAAACAAAGCCCTTTTGTTCTGGGAAGCGTTGAGGAATTGCCCAAAATTGTAAATGGTGATATTTTGGGGCCTAAATTTCTTCTTAAATAAGTTATAAGGACACTGAACTCAGAGGCAAGAGTTCAATTGCCCAATAAAACATTTCACCTTCTTTAAAAACTCAATATCTGTTTTCATTGCTTTTTTTCTTGTCAAGAAAATAATAGCCAAAAGGCCAGAGAATTCAACTTATGGAGGTTTGAGGGGAAAAACCTTTGACTTAGGGAGGTTTTTAATGTACTTTTTTCTCAGGGGATTCAGACAGGGACCTACAAAACAATTTGACTTAGGGAGGTTTGAGTTATTAAGGTTCAACCATAGTACAGTATTTAAGAATGAAATACACTTACCATTGTGAGAATCCACAGTGACTGTGTGCACTCCTGTTTGTGAAACTATTTCCGCTGTCGATGCAGAAATGCTGCATTTGACCCCATTTTCAGAATGGCAATCAAGCTCAAAACTTGTCACTGTATTTCGAAGATATTTTAAAATTAACTTTGAGATTTTTCAAATGCGTTTTGCTATCAATTTTGCAAGTCTGACCTGGAACACCAGCTCGGTCATACGGACGAGTCCAATTCACCAGCATTGAAAATTGTTGATTCAAACCATTGTCTCCAAGATTAGGAGGAAGACTGTCGTCATCTGATGAGTTTTGGCAAATTGACAAATCAGCCACTGGCATAGGTGGGGCCGGGCAATTGGCAAACAAGGCGTATTTTTCTGGGTTTTGATCGGCGTGCAATTTGTGCTCATACAGCCTACACACTGCTCCTGACGTGTAATTGAAGTCCACTAATCTGCAAAAAAATATTGAAATATGTAAGGAAATTTTAGAATTACTAAAGAATTCATATACTTTAGAATTTAGTATATGAAGAATTCTGTTTGTTTTTTGTACATTAAACCAAACAATAAAAAACTACCTGACGTATTAAATAAAATGATTTTGCACTGATTTTTCATCAGGTGACTGTTGCAAATATTAATTAATTCATGCATTATTGTAAACCAGGCTTTTAAAGTCACTGTTTGCACAAAAAGCTTGTGCACCAGAGAGATAAGAATCTGCCATGATAGTTTTCCAGATTTGCATTGCCAAAGAAACAGTTAGGTAAAGAGAAGTAATTATATCTCATGATCCATTAGTTGGATATGTTCAGATATGCTTGGTCTCATTAGAAAGTAGTTTGCTTGAATATTAGACCTTGCAGATTTTTGTAGGTCCAAAATTGGTGGAGTTATTCCCTCCAGAATTTTGCGCATTGCACCTTAGGCAAAACATTTTTTCTTTGCTGATTTTATTTCTTTTCAAAGCAAGTTTTCAATCCACAATGTGAGATTGTATTTGCTTATTGTGTGTGTAGTTGTGTCTTTTTGAAACCTGTGATCCGAGACATTAATAAGTCCTCTTTTAACATTCAAAGAGTGAGGATGCTCCGGCTTCCTTTATTATTGCAGCCATAAATGTATTTTTGCACTTCTAAACTAAAGTCCACTGGAGGCTGGGAAACTGCCTCAACACTCATATGTCTCCTGCATCTGGAATGCTTGTTTTTTTGGCAGCTCAAAATCTGTAATATGTGACTTTTAGGCAGAATTACTGTTCTTACTTTTCCATGCTCGTATTTCTCAAAAAGATCAGAAATTTATTCAGAAATTTGAAGCAGATGTTCACCATGAGAGAAGAGTATCTCAGAATTTTTCTTTTCAATTTCATAAAAAAAATGATGATTCAGAAGCACTTTACAGTAGCATTTAGTCACAGATGTCCTGCTTAATTAGAAATGTTCTAAAAAGTGCCCTATTAGCCTTAAAATGAAGCATTTTTTGCCCTAAAAATATTTTCCTCAGGTCCCCGGGGCTGCGTTGGATGAAAAGGATTTTAATGAATTTGAAGATAGAAAAGCGCGACGAATCGATGGCCAATTTTGCGCCGCAAGTTATTAGCAAACCTTTCCGTGACGAAAGTCGCTCCGTCAATACTGAAATCCTTCAGCTGAAATGTGCCACTTTGGTTGAAATCCTCATTCACAGAAGCACAATCCCATCGCAAAATCGGGACAATGTGTTCAAACTTCTCGTCCACTTGCGCCAAATCTGGGCCCCTCTTGAACCTCCGCTTTCTGCTCTTGATGCCCAGAAAATCGCCCAAATTCCCGCCATTTTCCGTGATTTCCCACGTGAAATCCGGACGAAGGATCCTGTCGACTATGTCGAAAGGTGACAGCAGTGTCAGCATTGGATTGTTGAAGGGATTCGTCGTGCTGAATGGACTGCGTTGACGGGAAATTCGCAAGGACTTTTCAATGGCGTGCTCGATGTCGTCATCGGCGTAACTCAGGCCGAATATTTGCACATAGTTCTTTTTCCCCAGGCACCTGTTGTCCACATCCACGCGCAAATTTCGCAGGTGTCCCGACCTTGAAGACAATTTATCAAACCGCGGAACTGTGCAAATATTTCCTGGTAAACAGTCAAATTTTGCAGCCACAGGCTATGAATATTGGAGATACTAAAGTGTATTCGCAGCACTAAGACAAGCCATATTATAGTTTAAAAAAAATGAGGATTCAGTCTCTTGGCTTGGATTACGAAAAATCCAGGGAAATCTTTTCAATTTCAAATATTTTTATGCGGATTAATTGATTTGAAAGAGCAACTTTCACATTAACCTGGTATCAAAATTTAGCGTTCAGGTCAACCCTCCTGAAAAATCTGTGCAAAATTATTTCCAGGTACCGACAGGAAAGGTGACTTCACTCCATGTTAATGTACAATGACTGTTCAAAAACATTTAAAAGAAGCAGTCATCAGTCTTGAGTAGACAGTTTTTTGAAATTGATTTTGGGCAAAAGCTTCATGGCTCCCTTAGTCAAAAAATGTGGACGATTTCTTCCGAAATGTTCAATTGAATCGAAATTAACCTAAGAATCGTCCATAGTTCCCAAAATAAGTTTTTATTTGTTTCAAAATTGCAGAAAACTCAGTATACTTTCTTTAAAAAGTCTCGTATAATCGTAATTATACAAATTCCGAGCAGAAGGGTCTATTAGATAATATTGTTCAGAAAAGGTTCACGGTAATAAAACAAAAAGAATTAATCCTCTATACAAACAGTACTGTACATTTCCAGTGTCCACCATTTCTTTCCTCAGATTGTAAGTTTTTTTCAAGTAAGAATATTTCCGAATATCCAAATCAATCGATTTTATGTCTCCAATTTCAAAAGATTCTCAAAGACTCACTTGGGATGATCGTCTATTTTTTCACCGACACGAATAATGTTGGCAGGCAAATGGGATCCACAAAAACATTTCATGTGGCTGAAAATAGCAAATTTCCGATTATAAAAACTGACCAGAAAGCAATAATTATAAATCGAACTTCAAACGATTGAAGTGACACGGAAATGAATTAAAATTACTTGAACTTCGCGAGATTTACAGCCACAAAATTATACGATACTTTTCAAATTTGTAAGTCTTAAAAATGCGTGTAGTTCTCTGAATTATAATGGTAAAACAATTCACTTTAAAGTAAGTATTTATTTTATTAATTATGAATTATTTAATTTAAAGATACCACGAATTGGGAGAATAATGAGAATATAATGCTGCCTAAACCACAAACAAGTTTTTGGCCATAATATTCAAATTGAACAAAATTCTAAATAAAATGCTATCAAATTTTGTAAAATAGCCCACGAATTGCACTTTGTTTTACCTTGATTCTAAAAATCTTAAGAAAAAAACTACGAAATTTCGGGAGGCATCTGAAAGCGTAACGATGACTTGTTCTTTTTTTCACCAATCCACAAAAATCTGGCAAAAAGCGCTTACGAAGCATAAAATTGAAAATTGAAATACTGTAAAAGCAAAATTCACCTGTGATCAAGGCCAAACAATCGGTAATCGTCCAATTTGCACAAAGAAATGCAATCCATGTCTGTGATGCCTCTTCCGTTATAAATCCTCGCTGGCCAAGTCTCTTGGTCAATTAACTTGTCCTGAACGCAACCAATAAATGCGTGTCTTGGAGCGGCTGAAAATCCGCATAAAAAATTTATTGGCACTCGCAATATATCGTGGTGAAATAAGCGATTTAAGAACAATAAGAAACCCACCAGTGCCGAAATGAATCCCGGTGTCGTAAATGTCGATAGTTTCGTTTCCACCGCATGTTTTCCATGGTCCCCCGGGGCAATTGGCGTCACATTCACGCTGATCTGTCCTATCGTCGAAATTTGGCACTCTTTGCTGACACCAACACTCAAATCTGCAATCGAAAATTCACACGATCCAAGATTCACAAATTTGATAATGCTTCGAACATCTGGAGAAAACTTCGAGGTACAGTAGTTTTGCTACAAATTCGACCATGTATATTATACCGGAAATAACAGGAATGAGTAAGATATAGCACAAAAATTATCCGTCAGCCCTGTTAAATTACAATTTTTTCTTGGCATAATCGATGAAAAATAAAGTAACCAAATTTCAGTTTAAAGATATCTACAATGACTTTCTCGGCATACCGAAATTTTTTTTTGTGACAAGGGTTCTTCACAACGAAATCATAATCTCAATGAAGAATTTTAAAAAATTTCTCATAGAATTAAAAAAAAGCGCCCACATGAACCATAAGCCCTGTTAAATTTCAATTAAATTCCTTTTTTACTCGGCATTAGATAGATAATGAATTAACGAAACTTCATAAAAACTAATATCTATACAACGACTTCCTCGGTAAAACGAAAAATTTTTTGGTGGTCCCATGTGACAGGGGTTCACCGCGACAAAATCATTATCTCTATACAAATTAACTTTTTATGGGTTTTCTTCGAATTTCATTGTAGAGATAATCCGTCTTGCTGAATGTCAAGCTACATCTCCGGGAAAAATATATCAAATTTCGCAAATAAATTACACATCAAGAATTACGCTTTGGATAAATTTATATTGAGTTTCAGGTTCTATCTACGGAAACACACGGAAAAATTATTTATAAATCACAGAAAATATCGCCAAATTTTTGCAAGCTACCTCTAGGAAAAAATATAAAGTATAACCCTAGCATATATTCATAAATGCTTCGTTTCATATTTCATACAATTCACGGACAAGACTATATAAAAATGAAAAGCAGGGAAACGAATTTTTCTCAAGCACTTGAAATAATAATTAAAATGAGCCAACATCAATATTCGAAAATAAATAATTTCAAAAAGAATCTCACCCATGTTCGAGCGCAGCGAATTGGTATCCAAGTTTTTGACACATTGCGATACATGTATGAGGAGAATTTGTGTTTTCAAAAAACACAATGTCAACCAGCATATTGTGTCGGTCTCTGTCCTTGAAACATCCCAAATGCCGAATGTTATTCATTCCTTATTGCAGAGAAAAAAAAAATGAAGAAATTAAACGTAAATAATAAATAACGAGGAAGCACAAAGAATTGCGTAAGCGATCCATATAAAGCAACTTTTCAAGTACTGACAGCACTTACTAGGTTCAGACCGGTACTTGTTGAACAGTATCATCCGGAACCCGATCTTGGGTACGAACGGGTCCGCGCAGAAAGTGAAAAACTTGACTTCGCACTTCCTGTCCGACCCGGGATTGCATAAAACCCTGTCGAGATTTATAAAAAAAAAATACAATTATGAAATTCTCAAGATTTATTATTCGCTTCAATAAATGTCATCACTTGGTTTTATTGTAGTTGGCGATGTGTTGAAAGGCTTGATGTTTGTCCATTCCTTGGTCGTTTTTACTCAAGTGATGTAAAATGTCCTCGGATTTCTTTTGCAATTGCTCAAGCATCGCTTTTTTCTCCGCCTTTGTTTCATTGTTGTCTGAAAATTCGTTTCTGTGTCACTTTTTGACAGAATTCTTTCGAAATTTATACAAAATGTCATTGGCAGAAAATTCCAGGTGGAACTATATTATATGAATGGTTTATTATTTTTGTACTATTAAACATTATCAAAAGGTATTTCTTTAACCAGATACAGTTGAACCTCTCTAAGTCAAATATCTAGGGACCAGAAAAAAAATTAGACATAGGGAGGTTTTGAATAAAGAAAACAAACATTTTTGCTGCATGGAAGAGTAAAAAATTTTGAAAAATTGTAGATGAGGAAATTATGGTACTAAGCTTGTTTCTTAATGAGTTTACAGCTTGCTGGACTTGGAAGCAGGGGTTTATTTGTTTAATTAATCTTTCACTTCATTTCAAGATGGATAAAACCATTTGTTTTATTGATTTTCTCTTTCATATTTCACAAAAATAATAACCAATAGGCCTCAGAAATTTGAATTACAGAAGTTTGAGAGAAAAATACTTTGAGTTAGGGAAGATTTTAATGGATTGTTTCTAAAGAAATCCAGACAGGGACTTGAAAAAAATTTGAGTTAGGGAGGTATTCAACTCAGGGTGGTTTGACTTGGCAAGGTTCAACTGTAATAGAAAATATGTCCTCTATTCATCAAAAGGTTGCAGAAATATTTTCTTTTTCTGGGTGAATATACTGTACCATGATTCCCCCATTATTCTCCGAAATATTCCATCAGATATTCACAAAATTGAGTATAGTGAAAGAAATAATTTATATTTCTGGTAAATAAAATTTCTCTAATCCTCCAAAAAATTCCTGAATATATTTTGGAATGGGGCAAATTTGTCTACTCCTAAAATTAGAGAAATGAGAATTTTTAAAAATTCCAAGTGAAAATTTTGTCATTGATAATTGCAAACGATGCAACCCGAAAAAAAAATCCGAATGGTTCAGCATACCCTTTTTTTGTGGCAAAATGACATTTTTTATAATTCGCCAAAAATTTAGTCGTAAAAAAATGTACCTTCACTCTGGTGCTCTTTGAATTCATGAAAGGGCTTGAAAATGGCTTCATGAATCACGTGATCAGTGCTGTGATGATGACTATGACCCGCATGGGTTTCCTCCTGGGTTTTCGGCTCAGAATTCGTATCATTACTCAAAACATGGGGTTGAATAGTTGATGAAGCTGATGGAATCTTATTGGCAAATGTATCGAAAAACTGCTGAACCAAATCCGTCAGCAATTTCTTGGCGTCCGAAGAATTCGACGGAAATGATGCCGACAACGTGTCTCTTATTGTCGATCTTTTCCTCCTAACAGATTTCCCTTCTGATTTCACAGCAGCTGCTGACGACGGTTTTTCAGATTTCGAAGAAGAAATTATTTTCTGCGTTCTGTCAAGATTCGATGATGCATTTTTATTCAACTTGTCCTCTTGTGCTGATGGATCCGGATCCGCGGGCATTTGCCGGGTTTGGAGAAAGTTGGTTCTCATCCAGGGCTCCACGGGATACAGTTGGGTCTCCTGCTGGGGCATTTCCGCAGAAAATAGGTTTTCTTCCGCCATTTCCGGGTATCCTGCTGGTGGGAAGTAGCTGAATTTTCGGCCAGTCTCGACGTCGTAGCGAGGGTATTTGTGCTGAAATCGCACTGCTTGTGGTTCGGCTTCAAAAGATTCTTCTGGGGTGTGTTTTCTCCTGATATTATGGAGAGAAAAAAACGCAGCAATTAAATTCATAAATTGAAAATATAACATATTACTGTACTATAAAATTTAAAATTTTAGACAGAACTAATTTCGTAAATTTCAAAACAGGCTGAGAAATTAACAGCAACATTCGATTTGTAGATTTTTCTTGGCCTTCTGGGGTTAAATAAATTACTCCAAATGTCAGAACCAAATGACCAATTGAACAGCTGAATTTTAACCAAGATTCACTCAAAACCATTTTAAAAATTAATTCTACAATTGAGCAGAAAATGTATGAGTTTTTATTTCTTTGCTTTCAAATATCAGGCGTCTTCAACCGTAAATCAACAATACGTTTGAATATTTTCATTTGTGGTAAATTATTTCTCATCTTCCCTGAGTCCTTGATTTATAAGAAGAAGAAAAACCTTTCAAAAATACTCGGAATATTTGAAAAAGAAGGTTTGAAATGTCATTTAGGTGACACCTGGCAATTTCATTCAATGATTCTGAAACCTCAGAAATATTGAATGTTAACACTTCCATGGCGAAAATGTCCTTGCAAAAAATTAAAGAAGCTTAAATATCTCAGATTATTATATAAAGCAAATATAATTCACGAGCAATTGAAATCATTTCAGGTCTTAACACAATTTTCTATGTAAGTTATTTTCCAACAAAGTATCTCTTGCAAAAAATAAATGGCTGTAGTCAATTTGTCACACAAAATCAGAGAACCAGAATTCTTGGGAAAATATTCTTTCATCTTTGTGAGAATCAAGAAAGACCTTGGTTCTCACGTTTCTTTCAGAGCCTTCAAGGCTGTTTTTTACTGCTAAAATCCAGTTGCTGTTTTTGTCCTTGAACAACAGTTTTCCTGTTTTCCAAATCTGCATGAAAACTTCCCTTCTGCCCAAGCTCTCATGTGCAACACTCAAGGAATTTTTGCAAATAACTGCATTCATTTTCAAAGTACAACAGCTTTATTATAGGGTGAAATTTCACCACAGTTGTAGCCAGACCAAATTCCATTGTTTTATTTGCATTCTCTAAACTCAAAACATTTGAACCTCAATATAACTTCTAAAAATCTATCTTGTCTGGAATTCATTCCTTACAGTATCCAGCATTATTTTAGGGTTGATAGATGGGTTCACATTTTTCTCCACATCCATGTTATGCTTCGAAATTGAGGTGTGAAGATTTTTTTTTTCGGTCACACGGTACTCAAGGAATTACTGTATTTTTTCAATTCACGTCTTATTTATTCACTTACATGGAAAGAGATCCTGAGTCGGAATATCCAGAACTAATTCGTCCAACCCCAGAATTCGAGTCCTGCGTCAAATACTCTCCATGTCTGCCGACATAAAGGGTTCTAGGAGAGCCCTGTTCAACATACTGCGAATCCTGGTCTTGTTGCGATATGGAAGAGATTCCAGCCAAGGTGTCAGCATCGTCACTGTCGTCATACGTGACGAATTGGTCCCCGTAACCCTGGAATTCCAGGGGTCGCCGATTCCGGGCCGTGGTTGCCAAATGGTGGAGCCTATGGAGACTGGCTCTGCTGCTCGAGTCGTATATTTCAGGCTGTTTCGAGAGGCTCGGGTATCGGGCATTGGAATACGGCCTGCTGGTCAGTGGACGCTTTTGGTCGAATCTGCGAATGCAACACATTCAACAACTTTAGTTTGGATTTTTATGAATACTGTATCGGAAAATGAACTCAGGAAAATGTCTTTGTATACTTTGTATACGCGTAAATAAGTGGCTGAAGGAGGGACATCAGAAGTTGTTGGGGACTCGCGGCGCACCACCGAATAAAAATCAATTAAAAATATCTAATCGGGTGGAAAACCACCCGCGCGTAAAAAACGGATGAAATCCGTCAACGGTTTCCCCTCCCCAAGAAAAAATAAA